CTGTGAACTCTTGTGAGCAGTACCTGTCAACTCTGGTAAAGCAAGTGAAATATCAAATAAGTACCATATGTAGTGTAGTTCGCTGCGGACGGTTGGGCGTGTCAGGCAGTATGAGAGTGCACACTGTCACCGTTCTCTGCCTTCTTGTTGAAGCGCGCATGCGACAAAAAGTGGTAGAAAACGAGTAATACGAACGATATGATACAGTCATATCACTTGCTCGCTTTAACAACTGGTGGAGAACGGGTTTGGCACCGCGCCAAACTCATCCCGCCTGACACGCCCAACCTCCGCAGCGAACTACACTACATATGGTACTTATTTGATATTTCATTGCTTTACCAGAGTTGACAGGTACTGCTCACAAGAGTTCACAGGTGGTCTCTATAAAATCTGGCTGATACAATTTCGCGGTTTCACAAGATTTCACGGATCAGAGCATGGCATGCTCGACACATGGGAATTAGCAAAAAAGTACCCCCCCCCTACTGTCGCGACACTCCGCCGAGATTTTTGTTCTTTGTGCCCAATGCTTTCACAATCGTGGCTGCCCAATTATGTCAGGCAAATCCAGCAAAATAGAGCTATTGTACCTATTGCCCTTCCTTCGTAAAATGACAGGCATATCCGCATATTGATGAAACGATTGGAATGCTTGCCATTCAACAAAGAATACAGCCTGATTCAATTCTGCTGCACTAGTGCAGAGATCAGTCCTCGTCCAACGATCGAAAACCAGTTGCAATGGCATTTCGGACGACTAGGCAATGGGTTCTGACGCGAGCACACCTGCTCGTTTGAATACAAAAAGGAGTCACGTTGTGCGAACAACTATTCATAACTTACTGATGATTGAGTTGTGCAACAATTTTCCCTTTTTCAAGAACATCGTTGGAACGCATTTCGGACGGCTATAAATAATATTTTGAACGAACGTCACGTTCTGTGTATATCGAAAAGAAGTAAACCGGATATTATACATTAACGTCTATTGAACGCACTTTTCAGAATGTTCAATGAATTCTAGGCAAAGAATAGATGAGTAAAAGTAACGGTTTCGAACGAACAACAGGAAAACGGCTGAATTTGAAAGATAGAGAATAAGGAGCATGGCTGGTGGCACTCTGAAGACGAGCAACAATGAATTGGAATAAATAAAAGAAAAACGAGTATTTTTCCGATCAAATTTCCAGCAGATCGGATTCTTTGTGGGGAAAAGCTAGCTCCAGATCCCTACAGGCTAACTAGCCTGGATCCCCACATATTTCTTGCAATATTTTGGCTGACCGTGGCTACGACGGCCGTAAATTCCAGCGAGAACGCTGCTGACCGCCTAGTACAGCTGTCCAGTCGTAAACCTCCGAAATCTAAACGGACGGATGCTGGTCGAACTAGCGTCTTTGGGATGAAGATACAAGGAACAAAACATGCATGATAAATGGAAAGCTGTCAACAGATGACGATGGTGGGATTAGTTTCGACGAGCCAGCTTGCTATCAGGAAAATGCAGGAACAAATGGGAAGCAGATATTTCATTTGAAATATGTAACAAAAAAAGTTGGAACATCCATAAATCGCTTTTCTCATAGTTTGACATACTTTTGAAAAGGAAAAAATCACCAAAACCCGAAAAGATAGGAATCCATAGAAATTAGCTGGAATATCTCATGCGTAGAAACAAAATTTCTATTCTCAATTCAAAAAAAAACGAACAAAACCTTACGCGACAGATGGCTCCTTCCAAGTCTTTTTTCTGCCGCTGGAAATCGTGACTAGTAATAACTGGTAACTTCTAGGAAGCTCATCACCATCATCACATCACCTAACTGGCGACTACTAACACAATAAAGACTGCCTTCATGGGTTCCACTTGAATGAGCACCAAAAATGATCATAAAGCACCCGCAACTGAATCTACACCAGAAGAAATAGACTATTTCCATACACGCTGGAATCGATCCAATAGAAATTAACGATTCAGCAGAGGCTAGTCTTTACAAGTCTGGTGTGCTGCGGATGATTGGGCGCGTCAGCACAGCAGCGTCTGGCGCGGCTCCAGACCCGTTTTCAACCACATGTTGAAGCGGGAAAGCGATCACAACTGCTGGAAAACGGGACTGACGTCGCGCCAAACGCAGCCGCACTGACACGCCCCAGCATCCGAGCGAACCCGAGCAGAGGTAATGCAGGTTGCTGGCACTAAGAAAACTTCGTTTTCACTCAAAACAGCCTCTCTTTTTGACGAGATAACCGCTCAGGAGAGATTGCTTTGAATTGTCCAAGATTCCTTATTGTTAGCAACCTGCATCACCTGAAGGTTAGCCTCTGCTGAGTCGGCCATTTCTCTTGAATCGATTAGTATATGGAAACAGCCTATTTCCTCTGCTTTAGATTCAGAAGCTAGTGCTCATTATCACTTTTAGTGTTTGGTCGAGTGGAACCCACGATAGTAGTGTTTCTTAATAGTCACCAATTAGATGGTAGCGCTTCCTAGAAATCGCCGATTTCTGATCCTATGACTGCAACGAAATTCTTTGAGTTTCACTTCCGAGCCACTTTTTGCACAAATTAGTTCACTCAACCCAAAGCCCCTTCTCCCAATGGTTGTGTAAAAACTCTTACACTCCTGACCCAAAACCACTGACCATACATTCCTGCAGTAAAATCGCCACGTAGAACAAACAGCGAAGAAATGGCACGTAAATGAAAAATGCAACATTTCGAAGCTTTATAAGAGTTCCACAGTATAGGCTGGACGCCGACAGAAATTAAGTGAATGCCCTAGATGCCCCCCCCCAAGCAGATTTGCTTCGATTTAGTGGCTACACTTACAGAAGGGCCGTTACTTCGATATGAACAGTAGATTGGTTGATTTCGGAATTTTCGGTGCTAGCTCAATATATCCCCACATTTCCGTGCATGCGAGGCATTTAAAACAATGCCACTCTCCCGGAAACGGGAAAAGCTCTGGGAAAGGGTGAAGTGGTAGACCCACCTCGAAGGTCCATTCTACTTAACCCCGGACTTATATATTGCTATGGAGGGGGGGGGGGATGAGTGGGTGGGTGAAAGTTTAACATCCCAGTCACCAGATATACCAGAAATCCTATCAGCGTGTCACTAGGCTTAGTTAGGTAGAAATCCTTATGGTTTTTCTGCTTCCAGCACTAAATGCAGTCCACCACGAAAAAAATCAAAGAGATGGTATGTAAATGTTTTCTGTAACATTTCGTAGCTTCGAAAAACTGTAGAAAATTGGAACTACAATAATCCGACGAGACTGCATCAAAATGCCCCCTATTTATGGCTCGCCTGAGAATTCCTTTGATGCGTAATGTTCATTCTAAGAACGTCAAAGTGCTAAAAAACACGTCCACTAATTTCCTCTGTATACTGGGCTTAGCCAAAAGTCAATGGAAAAGGTAAACCCATATTACATACCATAGATATATAACATAAAAAAAAGAAAGTTTAGGCATGCCTAACCCTCCTCTCTGTTTCAAAGAAACAAGAAGCAGAGCGTGTATGTGTGCGTCTCTCACAGTGAAGGCTTGGCTGTAGGGGGGGGGAGTGGGCGGAGCAACTTAAAGACACATAGTACGCTCATACACATTGAGGGTGTATGAGACTATCAGCCCCCCAGATGTCGATGTGTCGTGGTCCCCCCGCCCAAACATGCCCAGGAATGGAGATACAGGGCCGTGAAACACGCTAATTCTTCCATGCTCCGCCCACTGCCTTTTTACGGCGCAGATTCCCGCCGTTCATAACATCCGTTGCAAGCGCGCCTGTCGCGTGCGGCTCCTTGGCACTTTGCCAAGTCCTTTAATTGCGCTCTCAAATACAAGTAAAACGCAATTTCCTGATGCGGATAACATTGGAGGTGCTGCAAAATAAGAACAGAAGATGATGACGAGGGTCAGAACTTAAAAGCAACTGTGCCACTTCTGCAACATCCCTCGGAGGCCGCGTATTTCCACGAAACATGAAAATAAAAACGGCATACTCGTTAGTTTGATACAAGCAAAACGCAATTTCCTGATGCGAATAAAATTTTAGGTGTTGCTCATGCTTCAAAATCCATGTACAAGGAGATGAAGATGACACAGGCTAGAAATGAAGCACAACGATGTAAATGTAAACAAAACAAAAATGAAAAAATCAAGGAAAGGCAAATTAGATAAACTGGCCTGTAAATTTCTACGATCCGGCGCCAAAGCCATAGAAATACTTAGAACAAACGAGTGGGACGCTTGGGCTGTTTTTATTTCATGTTTTGTGGGAATGCGCGGCCTCTGATGGATACTGCAGATGCAGCCGAGTTGCTCTTGAGTTCTGGCCCTCGTCATCATCTTCTGTTCTTATTTTGTAGCACCTCCAATGTTATCCGCATCAGGAAATTGCGTTTTACGTATTTGAGAGCGCAATTAAAGGACTTGGCAAAGTGCCAAGGAGCCGCACGCGACAGGCGCGCTTACGACGGATGTTATGAACGGCGGGAATCTGCGCCGTAAAAAGGCAGTGGGCGGAGCATGGAAGAATTAGCGTGTTTCACGGCCCTGTATCTCCATTCCTGGGCATGTTTGGGCGGGGGGACCACGACACATCGACATCTGGGGGGCTGATAGTCTCATACACCCTCAATGTGTATAAGCGTACTATCGTCTTTAAGTGGGCGCCTACAAATTACTGCCAGCTCAGAAAC